ATGTGGGGTACATTGGGGGCGGTACAGGGAGGGAGTGCTGTGGGGTGAGGTCGATGCAGGGGGGGGGCGTTGAGGGGATGGGTGTGGAGTAGGCCGTTGCCAGGAGGTTTAGGGGGGTTGGTGCCAGTGTGGGGCAGGGTGGGGATTGTTGTGGGGAAGCTGGGGGACGAATCGGTGTGTGGGGGCGGTCCCCGGGTCTGACGTTCTCTCGCTGTCGCCCCTCAGAGAAGGTGAAGCGCTTCTTGCAGGAATTCTGCCGGGATGGCGAGCTCGGCAAGAAGGATTTCCTGTATCGGGACCAGCTGGTGAGACTCCCACAACACCCCCACCCGCATCAATGCTCCCGGCTGCCCCAGCCTCCCCCCCAGCAGGGGGTGCTGCAGGCAGCTGGGGGTCTCCCCCAGTCCTGCAGCTCAGCCCAGCACCCCTCCCTGCCCTCCTCCCCCCCCAGGTGTCTCTGGCTCACCGGGAGCAGGTGGCCCTGTACGTTGACCTGGACGAGGTGGCCGAGGAGGACCCCGAGCTGGTGGACGCCGTGTGCGAGAACGCCAAGCGCTACGTCCGCCTCTTCGCCGACGCTGTGCACGAGTTGCTGCCCCAGCACAAGGAGCGGGAGGTGAGGGGCGCTGGCGAGATGGGGCAGGAGTGGGAGGCTGGGGCTGTGCTTGACGGAGCTCTTGTCCGCCCCCCCAGGTGGTGCACAAGGACGTCCTAGATGTGTACATCGAGCACCGGCTGATGCTGGAGCAGCGCGGCCGGGACACGGGGGAGACGCACAGCCCCCAGAACCAGTACCCCCCGGAGCTGCTGCGTCGCTTGTGAGTGCCTGGAGCCAGGGGGGCGCTGACATCTCTGGCTCCCTCCCCTCACCTCCAGGCCCCTGGGTCTCCCAGCCCTCCCCACGCCGGGAGCTGGGCTCTGTATCCCTTAACTCCTCTTGTCTCTAACTCCCTGCCGCTCTCCTGCCTCCCGCCACAGCGAGCTGTACTTCAAGGCCCCGTCGGGCTCCAAGGCCCGGGTGATCCGGGACGTGAAGGCCGACTGCATCGGGAAGCTGGTCACCGTCCGCGGCATCGTCACCCGTGTCACTGAGGTCAAGCCCATGATGGTGGTGGCGACCTACAGCTGCGACCAGTGCGGAGCAGAGACCTACCAGCCGGTGAGGGGAGCTGCTGTCTGTCTGTCCGCTCGGGGGAAGCTGACGGGGCCGAGCGCCCTGTCACGGAGCTACGGGACCACCGCGGTCTCTTGGGAGGGCCTCTTTCATGTGCCGGACCGCTGGGGGGTCTCTGGGGGAAGCCACACGGCCTCACCACCTCCATGAGCTCTGGTCAGTGAGTCAAACAGACTGAGCCCTGGGAGAGACTTGTCCGTTCTGCAGGGACCAGCACACCCCAGCCAGTGCTGACAGCGGTGTCCAGGGCAGCGGGCGATCTGGGGGTTAGCACGGAGAACGGAGGGGTGAAGCGTCAGCCCAGGGCAATTCCCCCAAGCCCGGCTTAGGGGATCCCTGTTTTCAGAGTCTGTCTGACTTTCTTCCTGGCTGGATGCCAGCACTTCTCCCTCCCCTCCCACCTTCCCTGCTGGGGTCTCTGCTCTGTCACTGGTCCTTGCATTGTCTCTCTGGCCCCCTCGTGGGTTTGGGTCTTTTCACCCAGTTCCTTAACGAGGCTGCATCCCCCCACCCCAGACAGGGAGGTGACGTGCACACCTGTGTCTTTCAATCTGCCCTCAGAGCAAACTTACCCCCCTTCCCTCAGTGGGTAGCCAGGTAACCCCCAGGGGAATCTGAGGCACATCTAGGCCTCATTAAATAATTACAAACATTCTCACTTTGTCATGCCCCCCACCTGGGCATGGGGGAGCAGCCGAGTCCCCTGTTTAGCCACCGGGCAGGTGGGGGTTTGTGTGGCTGGTTCATTGTGACCCTCTTCCCCGCCCCTCCACTCTCAGATCCAGTCCCCGACTTTCATGCCGCTGTTCATGTGCCCGAGCCAGGAGTGCCAGACCAACCGCTCCGGGGGGCGTCTCTACCTGCAGAGCCGCGGCTCCAAGTTCATCAAGTTCCAGGAGCTGAAGATGCAGGAGCATGTGAGTGGGGGGTTTTCGGGCTGGGGAGGGGAGTTGGGGCATATGAATGGGGGGCCCCAAAGATTGATCTGGGCTCCCCGGCGTGCCCCCCGATTTGGTTATAGGGGTTTCTGCCAGAGTCGGGGGGGGCTGGTCCCCGGAGGGAGGGTGTGGCTGATTTTTTTTTTTTTTTTTTTCCCTCTTCCCCTCCATGCAGAGCGACCAGGTGCCGGTAGGGCACCTCCCGCGCTCCATCAGCGTGGCTGTGCATGGCGAGAACACGCGGCTGGCCCAGCCTGGGGACCACGTCAGCATCACCGGCGTCTTCCTGCCCCTGCTGAGAGCTGGCTTCCGGCAGATGGCCCAGGTGAGAGTGGGGGAGGCAGGGCCGGATCAGGGGGGCTGGGCTGGGCTCGGGTTGGGTCAACCTCCCGTGCCGGTTGCTGAGGTAGTTCTGGGGGATGGAGAGATGGGGAACGTTTCACCCCAAGGGTGGGTGCTGGGCGGGTCCCCTAGAGTAACGCGCCCCCCTGTTCCCCCCAGGGGCTGATCTCCGAGACCTACCTGGAGGCGCATCGCATCGTGAAGATGAACAAGAGCGAGGAGGACGAGCTGGGGTCAGGGGAGCTGACAGAGGACGAGCTGCGCCAGATCACAGGTGACACCCCCCCCACACTTCCCCCCCCCATAGCCCCTCATCCCCTGCCCCCAGCCTTGCTGGGCCCTGGGGAGCCACCCCAACTCCACAGCCCTGTGGCACCTCCTGCCAGCCCCCTGGACGTGCTGAGTGCGGGGCAGCCGAGATCCCCTCCCCCCACCCGCCCCGTACCCTGCGGCACCTTCTGCCAGCCCCCTGGGTGTGCTGAGGGTGGGGCAGCTGACAGAGGAGGCACAGGGCCTGCTCGTGGGTGAGATCTCCCCTGTATAGCCCTGTTTGCACCTCCTGCTAGCGCCCCCCGCCACCTCTCCACACCCTGGTCTGGTTGGGGGGGGAAGCGGCAAGTCATGGATCAAGGACCCCCCCCCAGCCCTGAGTCGGAGA